CTGTGATATATTAACATTTATGATTCTAAATGTAGTTTTGTTCCTATAAGAGTTCACCGATACTTCTATAAGGGCCCCCGAAGTCATGTTCTATAATATCTACAACCCTAGATTTAGTCTCTCTGAAGCTAGATTGTCAAGCTCATAATAGAAACTCAATAAATATTTGATAATGAAAGAATAGTAACCAATGAACCATTGCAGCAAACATCAAGTGAAGATTTCTTAAGCATATGAAGTTATTCTTCTTAACATTTTCCTATGAATATTATTGATTATAAGCTGTTCAACTCATCAATTAGTGTACAAATAGTGTATAAAAGCTTACTTTATTTTCTCTCTACTCTTTATCCAATTTCTGACCTCTATGTAAAGTTGTGGGAATAAAGCAGAGGTTGAAGTTATCTTATTTATACTTTAGTTGGATAATTTTTTAAAAGCTGACCTGGCCTCTAGTCTGTTCTTCATACTCTTTAGAATAAAGATGCACATTCTCCCTACTCTCTGTACTGTCTCATGTGAAATACATTGAGTCCCCTTCCAAACACCAGGCTCTTCTGAGCCTTTGCTCTGCCTTTGTTCAAGAAGTTTTCTCTGCCTGGAATCTTCGGTGAAGGCTGAGGGTAAGGAATGGTATGAGGTTTGAAATGGAATGGCAGGCAGTACCATATTTCTAACAAACCACATAGAGCCAAAAAGCTAGTCTTTGCAAATATGTTCACATCTCACCTATGTGAGGTGAGGCAGCATATATCTTGTGTACTTGAGAATTAAATTGTACTTTGAATGAGCTATAATTCAATACCTCTGATTTCTCCATAGTTTTATTTTATTTTATTTTTTAATTTAAATTTTATTTTCATATTCCCCATACAATTACAACCCCCTTATTTTGACCACAAGCCCTCCTTTCCCCACCCCCCAACCCCCATAGAGTGTCTCTTGTTCATAGTTATTTGTTGATTTTGATATTTTCTTTCTTATAGCTATTCTTTTTCCTGGTCCCTTATTTAAGTTTTCTAGATTCCTGCTATGAGTGAGGCCATCCGGTATTTTTCTTTTTCTTTCTGGCTTATTTCGCTGAGCATGATCCCTTCCAGCGCCATCCATGTTGCTGCAAATTGCATGTTTTTATCTTTTTTGAAAGCTGAGTAATATTCCATGGTGTATATGTACCACATCTTCTTGATCCAGTCATTTATTTTTGGGCATTTGGGTTGTTTCCAAAGCTTAGCTATTGTAAACAGTGCTGCTATAAACATAGGCGTGCAGGTGCTCTTTGGAATTGATGTTTCTGTGTCCTTTGGGTAAATACCTAGGAGTGGAATTGCTGGATCCTATGGAAGCTCTATGTTTAGCAGGTCCAGAAATCTCCACACAGCTCTCCATAGTGGTTGGACCAGTTTGTACTCCCACCAACAGTGCAGAAGAGTTCCTTTTTCTCCACACCCTCGCCAACATTTGTTGTTGCTAGTTTTTTTAATATGTGCCATTCTCACTGGTGTAAGATGGTATCTCATGGTAGTTTTGATTTGCATTTCCCTGATTACAAGTGATGTTGAACATTTTTTCATATGCCTGTTGGCCATTTGCATTTCCTCTTCAGAGAAGTTTCTTCTGCTCATTTTTTGACTGGATTATTTTCTTTGTTTTTGTCGAGTCTCATCAGCTCTTTGTAGATTTTTGTGATCAGTCCTTTATCATTAGTGTTGTGTGCAAAAATGTTCTCCCAGTTGGTGGTATTTCTCTTTGTTTTTGTTATTGTCTCTTTTGCTGTGCAGAAGCTCTTTAATTTGATGTAGTCCCAGCTGTTGATCTTTGCCTTCACTATCACTGCTTTGGGTGATGTGTCTGTAAAGATGTCTTTGATGTGCATATCACATAGTGTTTTGCCAATATTTCCTTCTATGTATTTTATGGTTTCAGGTCTTATGTCTAGTTCTTTAATCCATTTTGAGTTGGTTTTTGTGTATGGTGTGAGGAAGTAGTCAAGCTTCATTCTTTTGCATGTAGCGACCCAGTTTTCCCAGCACCATTTATTGAACAAACTTTCTTTGCTCCAGTGCATATTCTTTGCTCCTTTGTCAAAGATTAGTTGACCATAAATCTGTGGATTTATTTCTGGATTTTCTATTTGATTCCATTGGTCTATGTGTCTGTTCTTGTTCCAATACCATGCAGTTTTGATGATTATGGCTTTGTAGTAAAGTTTGAAGTCTGGGAGTATGATGCCTCCATTCTCCATAGTTTTAAAGAGAAAGGTATTTGGGATATAATGTGGTCCCTTAATCTCAATTCCAAATTTCATTAAAAAATGCTCAATTATTAAATCTTAAAAAATCGCAAATCAGTATATTGTATTTAATCAAACAATACCAAAAAAAGAGGAAGATTTCTTTAATTGGAGTACATAAAGGGACAGAATTAGTTTGGGACTATCTGCTGTCCACCGCTGAAATAAAATATAATAAAACGTCTTTGTATTCTAATATTTAAACTATTAGATAAACATATTGTTTTATTGTTAATTTAAAATAGTAAAATTCATTAAAATCACTAAGCAAAAAGTCTATTTCAGCTAAAAAGTCAGGATATTCTGTTTTACCTTTGAGTACATTAAATGCTTAAATTATAATATTTTTATATATTTATACAAAATATATATTTACCAACCTTTGAAATAGAACAGAGGGAATGAGTTGTTTTAATTTTATGTATGCATTTACGTGGAAATACTGTTCCTAAATAACCTGAAGACACTTAGAGAAAGCAAATCCTAAAAGATAATGGTAACAAATCATTCCCTGAACTTTACTAGTATTTTATAATATCTCTAAAAAAGGATTTGTGTTATTAAAGAAAACTTCAATCTGCCCTAAATGAATGTTCAAAAATTCTGAAATCTTAAGACATTATGTCAAGGACATTTAGCCATACAGGGTACAATCTACTGAGGAATCTGAAAATGATCCCATAGAGAACTTATTTAACATAGAATTTTTTTAATTGTATTTGTTTTGTGTTCTTATTTAGCAATTTTTTAGAAATCAGATTTTATTGTGGTACAGCAGACACACATTAGAGTAATTTCAGAATGAAAAATGACTGCCAAAAATCAGCATTTTTACTTGGTATTAAAGAGTATTTATCCTGCCATAATACACTGCACAGCATCCCCTTCACAGTATCCATCATATTCAGAAGAAAAATCTTCCAGGAGAGAGGTAAGTACTTTAAATTCAATCTTAGGGAATTTTTGTCTAAATATAGCAACACTTCTGGAAACAATTTGAACAGCAAGTAAGGTAAAAGAGAGTTCTTACTAATAAAGTATAATTATAATAGCTTCAGTAAGTGTTGGAACCCTTGTTTTTTAACAGATGTTATATGGGCTGCATGACCCATTTGAGAATTCTAGGGTGATATTTTGGGCACCCCAAAGTCTTAGAGGAGGGCTGAAAATAAAAGACCTGATGTTGGGAAAATTGGACAGCACTATGCAAAAGAATGAAACTAGACCACTACCTATGATCACATACACAGATTTATTTAAAAAATGGAATAAAGACTGACATATAAGAGCTGAAACCATGAAATATAAAGAAAAAATACAACAGCTTTTGAAATGTCTTTGAGATTGAGCTCCAACGAGGGAAACAAAAGCAAAAAAAAGCAAATGGGACCACATCAAACTAAAAAACTTCTACACAGAAGTTTTGGCAGAACAAAAAGACATCCTAGTGAATGAGAGAAGCTATTCAAACATCATATATCCAACAAAGGAGTTAATTCTGGTGGGAAGGCGAGTGATGCAATGTGCTGTGCTTGTCCCTCTCTACTGGGGCGATTCCATTTTATGGAAAGCCAGAAGAAGACTTGTCAATGAAAAGAAAACAAAAATAAACTTTGAGGATATAACAGCAATTAGAGGCTACCACAGGGAAGGGACAAGAGGGTGGGTGTGGACAGAGAGGACATCGGTATGGTAAAGAGTAAAAGTTTGGATTTTGGGGGTAAACTTAATGTAGTATATAGAGATGTTGATTTATAAAATGCACACCTGAATCTATATAATTTTATAATGTACTGTTACTTCAGTAAAGGAAATCTTTTTTAAAGATTTACTTATTTATGCATACAAGAGCTGGGGTACAGGCCAGAGGTGTGGGGTGGGGTGAGAGAGTATTCACCAGAGACAGAGTGTGGAACAGAACAGGTGGATTGACTGAAATACACTGCTGAAGGGAGCAGCGGGCGAGGCAGGACAGGTCTGCCGCACCATGTGGGTAGCTCCCTGGCGGGGCTGGAACTTGTGCTTATAATAGATTTCAATATAAGTCAGCATTGTGGAGTTTCCAATAAAATTCCTTTAGAATATTAGCACTGAAATTTATGACTTCAAAATAAGAGTGATCTTTGTAATAGTCGTCCTGAACACTGAGCTATGGCCATTCTTCTCCCCTTCCCATGCTGCCAGATGGCCAGTAGTTCTGTCTTCCATGTTCAAAGAACACCCACCCATGCACACTCCATCTGAGATCCAGAACCATGTTCACATATATTCAAACACACTTGTGACTTAGTTTTCAATGAGCATACCAGCTTTACAAAAAAAGTCTCTGCTTCTGTAATTACCAAATTATTGAAAAAAGAGTTGTGCTAAACGTTTATTTATTTAATATTTACCCTCAGTAAAAACTTCACTTTCCCTTTGGGAAGACTGTATTATTTCCTCCACTAGCAAGTTGACAACAGCTTCTTCTTTTGTAAGGCTCATCACATTAGAAAATATGCATCATCAGTGGAAGGATCTTGAAAGCAGGTCTGATATTTTGTTCACATTCATATCCTCAATACTGAGCATAGATTCTGGCACACAATACATACTGAGTGATTTAATCAATCAGTAAAACCAACCACATTCCTGAGTACTAAACATCGGATGTAGCTTAAGAATAATTCAGTCAGATAATTTTTCTATTAAAATTGAACTTACTTGTTTAGAAAAGATTCTCTGTATTTTTACAAGTCTGGCATTTCTCTTCAGAACCCAAAGTAGGGAGAGGAGGAAGTAGTTCTGCATCCTTTTTCTTATTATGAAAGAAGCAGAGTCCTCGTTCAAAGTCAGCCCTATTGCAATAGTGCATAAAATTATACTCTTGTGCTTGCTCCTGCATAGCACATGTATCTTCCAGTAAAATTTCATCCTGAACAACAGAGAAGTAAGGACATCAGTTATTCACCAGGAAATATCTCAACCTTCTGACACAGTGACCAGTGAATGCTCCTTTAGGATAAAGGTTGTAATTTTCCTAATCTTACCATCAAAACATCTTTACCACACCCTTTATTACCATTCCACATTCTGGGAAGCCTTCTTTATCCTATCTTATCCTATCCTATCCTTTATCCTATAACCTCTTACTCTTTTTTTGTGCTGCCTATATTTCCTTGACAAAATGGCGTTTTCCCCTTCTCCCAAGGTGAAAGTGTCAGAGTGTAAATGTGTTGTTAAAATATTTAGTCTTGATGTTTGGTAATAGTTCTCTAGAGGTGCAGAAGGTGATTCTATTTGGGGGGAGGCCAAGAAAAAACTATGTTAGAGTAGAAGACATACCCAAAAAGAGAGAGAAGGAGGGTGTCTTATTTCCATACACTTTTTCAGGCTATAACTGTCCCTACCTGTGCACACATAACACAGACTGGAAGCTCATAGCCAAGTTTTCCTGTGCAATTAATAATATAAAATTGCATCTCTTCTGGGAAAATATTTTAACTTAAATATCAATGTAACGCAAAATAAAAATAAGGGACATAGAGTGTATCTCTTTTTTATATTTTCAAACCAAATTTCTCACAAGGTTGGCAAATAGGTTTATTTGTTTAAGAAATGCAAACAATTTACTTACAGCAATTTTTGAACACATTGGAAGTGTCTTGTCAGTCAAATATTTATCTCTGAATTGTATCATGTTTTTAACTAGCATTTTCACTTCTTCAAATGATATTTCCTGAATATATTGAGCAAAATTGAGGATGGTGCTACAGCAGTTCACACAGTGCACATAAAAAATCAATAGCAGAATTCCATTTTTGAGTTCTGCCCAGCAAAAATTCATAAAAACATTACTTGCTGACTAGACTCAGGAAACTAAGAGTGAAGGTTATAAAGTTTACAACTTTTGGACAAATCAATTGCTTCTCTTGGATTTAATGATTGACATTGTATTTACTTTTTGATATGGTTTCTATTTAAATTAGCTTTGAGAAATATTAACATTTATGGAATGTATCAAATAAGATTGACAAACACCATTATTATCAAAAAGAGTTTAACAAAACTCACATATATTCAACATTCTCCTCTATAAATTTCTGGTTGATAATGAAATCCTCTGAAAAACAAGCATATTTAGGAATTGGCCTTGCTCATAGATTGGATGTAGGAGTGACTAGAAGAGAGAAACTAAGCAAGAGATGGTTCTAAGACTTCTGGCGTGGGAAACCCAGACAGACAAGATAAAGAAAAGCACATTTGGGGTGGGGCAAGATTTGGTCTAGAGTAGTCTAAGTCTGAGTTGTCTATGCTTATAAGCATGAAAATATCAGGGAGGAAAGTGATACATGATTCCAGAAATTTAAGAAGAAATCTAAGCTGGAGATAAAAAAAATATGTGTTGTCAACATCTAGATGATATAAATGCAGGGTCTGGAGGAGACCACCTAGAAAACAAGAGTTAATTCAGGAAGAGCTGCTTTGGGGCACATCAACATTTAGAAGTCAGAGTTGGAACAAATACAGTAAAGAATGACTGAGGAGATGGAGCCAGTAAGAACTGGAGGAAAACTCAGAAATGAACAAAATGTTTTAAGGAAAAGGGAGTGATCAATCATGTCAAAGTCTACTGAGAGAAATCAGGTTTATTTAAGACAGAAATAACTACTGGATTTTACAGCATAGAAGTCATTGGTAACCTTGACTAGAGACATTTATATGTTCTCACCCATTTTTTTTCTGTTTTGTTTTGTTTTTGTTGTTTTTAGTGAGGTAACATTGGTTTACAACATTGTTTGTCAGAGATATTGTTTGCCTACCTTGGCTTTTCAAAGATGTAGAAATGGCTTAAAATCTCCAATGTACTATTGTTATGTGTCAATTTGTCCTTGTTTCTATTATTTTTTCCTTTATATATTTCAACAAATGTCATTTGGTTCATAAATTTTCCTGATAGCTTTATCTCTATTGAAATTTCAGCAATAAAATTTATTTTTCCTGCTTAGTGTTTTTATGTTGAATTTTATGTTATCTTATTGTGATCTATGAGTTATCTTTTGAAATTACACCAGAATCAATAGTTAACAGTTATTGCAACAAAATTGAAAGAAAAATGTAAAATGCAAAGCAAATAAGAGAGAAAACTCATTTTATTTCTCTGGAATAATTGTATTCTCCTGAGCAGAGGCCAAAACATGAATATAATTCTTAAATTTCTGTTCAAAGCTAATATACAAACTCCCTCCCTATGGGTGGAGTGATCTTTTCAGCATCACTTGCAGACTTGGTTCCTCTATATTCTTTCCTCTACCACCACTCTCCATCAATCACATGTCATGAGTTGTCTTCCTAAAAGATAGCCACTGAATCCATTTCTCTGCTTAGATATCATCTCAGTCCTCTGTTACCCATAAAATATTATCCAAACCCTTTGGAATAAACCCATGAGAATCTGGCTCTATTCTAGATAGCTTGCATATCTTTCTTGATCTTCTATTCCTTTCTATTTCTACCCACCTTGTAACTCCCCAAAAACATTCACGATGCTATCCTCTTTCATAACTTGATCTACTCCTTTTACTCAAAGAAATGAATGCCAAAGAAAATCTTTGTCTTTTCCACTGGGACCATGCCCAGTATGAATCAGTCTCAACCACCCTTTGATTCACTCAACAATTTGTTGTCACCCCTCTCATGATCATATCTTGTTGCACTGAGACAAGTTGCTTTTTTCTCTACTGGAGCAACTGGACACAGTGACTGCACCCAGAACAGACATGATATCCAATGACTGCTCAATAGATACATGTGGAATAAAACCAGGAATGGATGAAAATATTGATTATATTCAATCAAACATCTACAGTGCAGTTAACAGTGATATTTTTAAATGTCTGTGAAAAAAAATTGAACAAGATTGTATTTGGGGTGGAGGGGTTCTAAATTTTGAGTAGCATCATTCTTGGTAAATACTCTAAATGCATTATTTTTTTTCTCATCTCCAGTTTATCTGTCAGAATACTTGAGTGGTCATGTAATGAACAACGTGTCCTGGCAACACTAAACAGTGCTTGGATGGGAACATTTTTAAGTTTACCAAGTTGTCTAGTCTTTAGTGTTGTAAATCCATCCTTAGATGGCATTCATAGCTTTCAATAACCAATGCTCTGTTTTTTTTTACCACAATCTGCTTCAGGCAATGCTATATAAATCTATTCAAAGATATTTTAAATTTTCATAAGGAAGCAGACTACAAAGAGAAAACATTTGAAAATGCTTTATTTTCTATGATAGGAAAATCTTACATAAGAGTTTTTATCATTTCATTAATTTACAAAATGCTTTAAGTCAGTTAGAATTAAAATAGAGTTTACACCAAATCATAAAGTCTTCTTTTCTTCTCCCTGCAATATGAACAAAAACATATTGAGTGTCAATTAAATGAATAGGTACAAATAGTAACTGGTTCTATTTTTCATATCATGAAAATAAAGATAGATAGGAAGGTCTCCTATCTGATGACATTCTCTGAAGCCTTGAAGTAAACCAAAAGAATTTTGAGTCAGTTAAGTCATTACTTTAATACTGCTAGGATAACAAAGTTTTGGCATTTTCAAAATAAATCTTTTACTGAATTGCATTTTATGGCTAAGAAATGTTTATAATGGTAGCTCTTAGGATGCAATTTCACTATACATCAATATTTGGTGAGAGTCAACATTATTATATTCAGCTTTGTCTGAATTTTCTGTTACCTGAAGTAATTTAAACTTGCAGAGCGGCACGAGTTTTAGAAATCAGCTTTGGACCCTGCAAATTAAGATCAAATAAGTGTATCATCAGATAAAGAAAAGGATGTCTATACCAGTTGTACAGTTAGCTCTACAGTGTGGAAGGGTAAAGTCACAGGTTTATAGATTAACCAAGTTCAAATGAAGGCACACATCTCTTAAGCAAACAAACTGGGACAGTGGAAGCCAAGGGGGAAAAAAATCCATGCATAGCAACAATAGATTTTGTATTTTGTAGATCTGTACTAATCTTTACCCTGCCTTTCTCTACAAATCAGTAATAGAAGTCAAAAGGTTTCTAGAGAATTTCTGCTACTATTTGTCAATGTTCTCTACATCTAAATGAATGTATTCTTAAATCAGAGAACATTGATCTTTCTATATCAAATTTATCAGCAGTGGTTTATATCAAATCTATTTTATTAGTTTTTAAAATCTGATTTGGTTACCTGTGTCCCACTTCCTCCTACCAAAAACACAGACATATACAGATAAGTGCACACACTCAAGCACACTCATTTAGATTATAAAGTTTGGAAAACTCAGAATTTCTAAATATTATCTCTTGGGAGTTCATCTAACAAAACACCCAAACTTTTACATTCTGAGATAGATATATTGGCAAAAGGCTGAGTGCTAGAATACCTTTTTAAAATAAAATGATGCTATATGCAAATATATTTAGCAATACAAACCAAAGGTTTACAAAACGTAACCAACTATAAATCCTGTTAAAATTGTTGAATAAGGGCCTCCCAGGTGGCGCAAGGGGTTAAGACGCAACCTATGAAGCTATCCACAGCCACTGAGCAGAGTTCGATCCCCTGCCGGCCAGGGAGCTACCCACATGGCGCGGCAGACCTCTCCTGTCTCGCCCACTCCTCCCTCAGCAGTGTTCTGGTGAATCCTCTCATCACCCCCCCGACCCCCGCTCACACCTCTGGCCTGTACCCCTGTTCTTGTATGCATAAACAAATCTTTTTTTAAAAAAAAAAGTTGAATAGATTAAGATAATTCCTAATTTCTACTTTGTTGATATGCAAAATTGCACTTCAAAATGAGTTAAGAAACGTGCTATAAATAGTCCTGCAATATCTTGTTAGCACAATTAATTTGCTATTAAAACTCTAATCCATTTAGCTTGATTGATCAATTTTAGGCTAGAAACTAACTATGTTATTATCAATTGATTATGTTTCAATATATAGTTTCCACTACTGGGAAATAAATCAAAATTACTAAATCTCTTAACATGTTTTAATATATTTGCTCCTAATACTTAGTGAAAAAATCATGCTTATTCTTTCCACCAATCTATTTCTAAGTGAAATTTAAATATCTCTAGTATTATTTTGAAGTTACAGATTTATGAGGTTTTCTTTACATTATCCATTATAGAAAAATTGCATACCAAGTATTTGGAGTGTGAAAATGAGCTGCACATACCTCTTCTGCAAAGCAGACTTCCTGCCCTTCGCTCTGACAGCACTTTTCCAGTAGGGCAGAGAAATCAGCAATGACGACTTCAAGTTGTTCTTCTGTTATTTGTGGCTTTTGCTTCACAAGGTTAATGAGAAACCTATGATTTAAAACAAAACAAAGAACAAGAGAAGTCTGTTACGCAATGGTATTTATCTAAAGCCTTCCTTGTAGACAATTTTCAGAACCTAGCAACTCCCACCCTAAACCTTCAGGCCATTAACTCATCACCAGATTTACACCTTGTGGAATGTTTTCGTCAGAAAAACTGAGGCCAGAACAGGCCAAAATTTCCACTGGTCTGGACTTGTGCAGATTATAGATGAAACATTATTTCCTAGTTTCACCACATTTATCTATAATGAAATACAGTGCTTTTCTTACTCACTTCCTTTTTTACTTGCTTTCCAGTTTTCTTTTTTAAAGCATGTCTTATGCACAAAGAGGGAAGAAAGAACAATGGACTATGGTGGTAGACCATGAGTAATTCAGTGGTTGGTGCACTATGGTGGTGACACCTAATGGGGGTGATCTTAATATTACTTCAATTAAAAATATAAATAAATTTATAAAAAATTAAAATATATCTTAGCTACATTCATAGACTCACATTTTCAAATCCCTGCCCTCCACAATTATTTCACCTTTACCTCAGCACTGGCCATATTAATTGCCTGCACTACTCATTTCGCAATACTTTCACATTGGAAATACTTTTCAGTTGGATAAATGTTAATCAGGGGAATAGGAAAGGCTTGCCAGAAGAGGTGACATTCTTAATGTACCTTGAAACATGCCTTGGATTATGACAGAGAAAAAAGGGAAGAATAGGTTATCCAAGCAGAAGAAAGACTGCTTACAAAGCGAGTATCAACATGCATGGGAACTTGGAGCACATGAATTCCACTGACTGGCATTACAATCACCACCTATATTAAATTGAAATGTGTATTCCATGTCTTAACCCCACACTTCATGGCTGAATCAAATATTACAATTATCCTCTCCACAAAGAGGAAAACATTTGAAAAACTATTTACTTTAGAATGAAAGTACTCACGTTTATTGCAAAGACATTCCCTCATTCTCCAAAATAGATTGTCCACTTCCCCTCAACCCCAAAATGCATCACAACAATAGCTGCAATGGAAACTATTTTTACAAACAGGAAATGGTCTGCCCTGGTGAATCTTTCTAGACCTAGAATGATGCTGTGAAAACACTGAGACAAACTAACTTGAAAGGCAACTTAAGTGCTTTGGGGTAATAACCTGAGTGTTGTGTGAGGTAGAAGTCTCATTTGTTATTTGATGTTGTCAGTATTTCTCATGTTAGTAAATAACAATTTCTTACTGTTGCTTCATCGTTTGCAGTGCTATACCCTGGGCTTGGCACAGATCCTTGTGGAAGATGAACTTGTCTGCAGAGAATGGTGGAGGCACATATGTTTCATCCACCACCAAGCTGCTGAAGCATGGCCTCCTGTTGGCATATGAAGAAACGCAGCACCGGGCAACACCAGAGTTCACAGGATTCTCTTCATGCCGGAGGCATAACTGTCCAATGATGATGTCAGCCTAGTTAGGAGCATAAGAAAGAAGAAAACAACGAGACTGAATATTAGCCATAAATAGAATCAGGTTTGCAGAAATTGTTGCAATAATTTTTAATGTCTGGCATTTTAAATTAGTATCACTGGAAAATTTTCTGTCTGTGTAGGATGATATGCTGCCATATGAAAGATTCTTGTTTATCATTTATTTGGGATAAGTCACAGTTCTTAATAAGATGTTTCATTGGTGATGTTGATCACAGTCCCTTCAGCCATTTATGTCAGCTCTTTGAAGCATGCTTCCAATTACAAACACTTCAAAGGAGGAGGCAGATGATGGCAAAAGTGTCTACCTTAACTTAGGAAATCAATACATGATTTACATTTCCCACATATATAAAGTTGAGCTTTCTATCTTACTTTAGGGATTCATAGAAGCACTGTCTGAATGAAAGAATTGCACAAACATGCATGCTTACATCCATATAGCTAACATATAGTCCTAATTAAAAAGAAATTGAGCCATTGTGTGTCTATATGGCTTTCCTAGTTTAGAATTGTCCTACTTTCCACTCTTCCAAGGTAATTCTTAAGCACTTTCTAGTAATTTTCAGTAAGATCAATACCTTTTGTGTGCCTACTTTGTATCAGATTATTGTTGAATGAGTTATGTAGATCACCTGTTTCACAAAGGTATAATAGTGCAATTTATAATAATATATATTTGCTCTTCCTACT